GGCACTGGCGGTGGAGGGCATTTCCGCCGCTATAAAGTTTCTTCTTCTTCTTCTTCTTCTTCTTCTTCTGATTTCAGATTTGGAATGAGTAGGAAAAATAAGTTGAAATAAGAAAGTATTTCGGAAGGAAGAGGAAAAGACTATGTAGGGGTGGGCAAAAACCGAAAAAAACCGGTTCAACCGAAAAAACCGCCCGAAAAAACGGACCGGTTAACCGAACCGAATTAAATGGATGAGAAGAAGTCTCTAAACCGCCCGAACCGAATTAAATCGGTTTGGATCCGGTTTGAACCCCTGAACCGCCCAAAAAAAACCGACCCGAATTCTGTTGGGCGGTTTAGAGACTAAACTTATACCTCAAAACTTTTCCTGTTATCATCCAATAGATTCAAACGGCGCAAGGAACAGTTTCAAGCAACGAGTACAGCAATATCACAGAAAAATATCCTTGGGAACTAAGTAAAGATTCAAATCAATCCAGAAAATTTGTTATGCACATGATGCACTTACAAAAGATGCATACGCTACATTATATGAACAATATCATACAAAACATCACTCCCCCGTGTAATTAAATAAACTTAAACTTTTGTTAAAAAATTTCGCAGAAAAGATCTTGAGAATTACATAAGATTCAAATCAATCACAAAAAGTGTTATGTACATGATACTTACAAGAGATAAGCATGCTGTATTATATGAACAACATCTTTAAAACATCAGTTCTCTGCGTAATTATATCAACTCAAAACTTTATTCTAAAAATGATAACCAGTCTAATAAAGCTTTGTTGGCGAGCTCAGGAACCTCATCATGAGGACAATGCCTAGCTTGCAAATTCACAACAGAAGTCATTGGATAGAACTCTTTGCAAATTCAAAACTGAAACCGAACCGAACCGAACCGAATTTCGGTTGGGCCGAATATTCGGATGAAGGGGAAAAAATCTGGATCTGAATGAGAGTTTTGAGAATCCAAAAAATTCGGATTGGATGCGGATTGGGCATAAAACCGAACCGAACCGAATATGCCCAGCCCTAAGACTATGTACTATGCAGTAGTAGAGTAGGCTAAGCTGGCCAGGTCAGCTGTAAGCTACCGCCTAATGTATTGTATCTGATGTATAATCAAAGTCATTCCTCTAGTCTTATTCCTTGGAAAGCGTAGGAAAATACTGGACAAGAGTAAAATATTTGGGAAACTTGTGTTAATGCCCTAAAATCAAAATCTTCACATGCTGCAGTGAAGTGCTGCAACCCCTTTGACCTTTTCTCATGTGGTTCAGCCCTTAAATTAGTGATACGAGTGTATCTTCTCTTTGGAATTTAGCGATCCTCATGCGAGTTTGAGAATAGATGATTCTCATGATAGCATGAGAATAAAGGTGTAAAACAACACAGTGGAACGCAAGTTGAAGCGTGGAACGAGACAGCGAATCGAAGAATCGAAGCATCCAATTTTCAGCCCGTGAATCGACTCATACATGTACATGAGTCGACTCATCAGGTTGAGTCCACTAATGCATGTCATGAGTCGACTCACGAAACCCAGTCGTTTTGTCGAAAGTTTCTGACGAGTCGACTCACCTCATCATGAGTCGACTCACTTGGCATGAGTCGACTCATGCATGTTTACGAGTCGACTCATCGACGGTTTCCTGGTTCGTTTGGGTTTCTGTTTACACGTTTTCGTGTGGGGTTTACGCTTGGTTATTTACCACTTTGTCACCCACGTTGTTACACCTATAAAAGGGGTTGTTTAGGGTTTCTAATAAATCAGATGTAATAAAAGAGAGATTCTAATCAAGAGAGATTAGTAGGGGTGCTAAACCGTATCCGTATTCAAGAAAATATCCGTAATTGTATCCGTTAGGATACGAATATGGCTAAACAAAAATATAAACCAAAAGGTTATGGATATGGTTTTATAGTGAAATATCTGAATACATATTAGTCATACTCTTACGATAGTTTCGATTCTTAGATTATGGATTTGTGGTTAATTTTGATGATCAAGATGTCTAATTTTAACTTTTCAATTATAATGGACATATTAACGAACTCTTTTGTATCACATGAACTATGTTTTTCTCAATACTATCTAGTTTTCTCATATCTGTTTTGTATCTGCATGCATATCCACTTATATATCCGCATGTATATCCGTAACTATATCTGATTTTAGCGGATATGGTTATCATTTTTTCTTACCGATGTATATCCGTATCCGTATCCGTATCCGAGATGGGTAAGCGGATATGGATATGGTAAGCATCATATCCGAGCCGTATCCAGACCAAATGCACCCCTCGAGATTAGGGTTTAGAGAGAATTGAGAGTTTGTTCTCGATTCTAGTGAGATTATGAGAGAGGGATTGTAATCTTTTTATACTCATAATCTAGAGAGGGTATTTTTCTTCGTCATATACTGAATTATTTTTGTATTTCTATTATCCTCTTCTCAACTACCTTTGATAATTCCGCGATCAAAGGTGCTCGCACGGCGACTCGTATCAAGTTGGTATCAGAGCGATCAGATCATGTGAAGGGGGTAACCTGTGTATGGTCCTTACTCGATCGCAATACAAGAAGCTAGGCGAGATCCTTATTTTATTGGAAGGAGTCCAGAAATTAAGGAAGGAGAAGATGACTGAAGGGGATAATTCAGCAAGACTTGATGCAATGGAGAAGCAGATCGAGACGATCAGTTCTACACTCAATCATCTCGTAGGTCTCATCAATGGAAAGGACAAAAAGGAGGAATCTTCTTCAAAGGGTAAGAAGAAGTTCGAAGAGTCCGATGGAGAGGGTGAGAAATATGATTCTGATAGGGAGGCCGAGATTATCAAAACTATTCCGCATCAAGGGGGTAAGGGTTCTTACCAGAATTTGAAGATAGACTTCAAGGTAGAGATTCCTGTTTATGATAGGAGTATCAACGTTGAGAGGCTTGATGATTGGATCAAGCGGATGGAGATGTATTTTACCCTCTACGGATATTCATCCAAGGAGAAGCTTGTGTTCGCGACTTTGAAGCTTTCAGGGCATGCATTGACACGGTGGAAATCCTATTGCAAGCAGGAACGGAAGGCGGTGTCGTGAAACAAATTCAAGGAGCTACTGAGGAAGCAGTTCTATCCAGTGGGGTTCCTTGAGGAGCGTTGGTACAAGTGGTACGGTTTGCGTCAAAGATTCAATCAGACCGTTCAAGAGTACATGACGGAGTTCCAGCATCAGACGATGGTTCTAAACGTCGCGACGGACTAACACTCCATCTTCATGAAGTACATGACGGGTCTGAATGAATACATACGGAAGGAGATGAAACTATTCACGATCGAGTCTATTGCAGAGGCAAGCGTGAAAGCTATTACCATCGAGAGCAAGCAAAAGAAGAGCAACGAGGCAAAAGGAGATGCAAAACAGACGGGATGTGAATCTAGTGTGTTGGCCTTCTTGTTTTGATGATGTTTAACAAACAATTTATTACTAATGTTGTTTGTCTAGTGTTTGTGCATTCCTATGTTTTGTAGACAAACAACGTTGTTGGAGGATGGATGGATTGAGCCTACACGATCATATCAAGAGGAGGTTGTCGGAATTATGGAGTGAAGCATCGTACAATTCAAGTTTAAGATCCAAGTTTAGCTTCATCCGCAACGTGTACCAAGTTGAGCTACAATGAAGATCAAGACCAAGCTTGGGTAACTTAGTTTAGGATTTATATTATGTTTGTTAAGTACTTTAAGCTCAATCATATACACACATACACACTTTGGTTTTGGTTTTGTATATATATAGTTATATATATACATATATGTTTTTGGTATAATAGGTTTCGAGTTTATATATGAAACAAATGAATAGAATTAGAAAATACTATTTTGTTTCATATTTATATGCCTATATATGATTTCGTCTTCAACAAGCTTATATCAAATGAAATCATATTTAGTGTTTTGTAAATATTGCATAGAATATGCAATTCTGTGAAAATATTGTATTCCTAGTTTTTGAACTTAACAATAATCATATACATAATTTATTAAGTCTATATAATCATTGTGCAAAGTTTCAAAACATGGTTTACCCAAAATATCATGTAACATGTTCACTTACATGTGTATATACATTTCCCAAAGTTTCATAATTTTTGGACTTCATTTGTTATTTTTAACATATTTTCAAAAGTCTTAAAAACAGTTTTTGTAGAGTATCAGTATTCGGTCGACCGCACCGGTCGACCGAACCTAAGGTCAAAAGTTCACTAGGCGACAGATAGTCTGTCGGTCGACCGGTCCGGTCGACCGATGAAAATTTTCGGTCGACCGACGAATTTTCCGGTCGATCGACGAGTGTTCCTTCAGCTTCCAACGGCTAGTTTTTTGACCGTTGCCCTGGGGCTGTTTTGTCTTTTGCTCAGGTCTTTGGCTGAAGTTTGAGAGGGTATAAATACCCTATTGTTGTCATCTTTCAAGGGTGAAGAGAATATTTTAAAATAGTTTAACAAGGGTTTAAACTTGTTTAGTGTTTGTTTAAAGTTTGTTTTAAGAAGCTTTTAAGCAATTGAGTGTTTCGGTTTTGTGATTCAATTCAACAAGAGCTTGAGGAGTTCATCTATTGGTGTTTGGGCATCCAACTCTTCTCCCTCGACTCTTGATATATTGAGAAGTTTTCTAAACTCTATTTCTAGCTTTTTTATATATTTGATTATCATTGTTATTAAGCTAGAACTACAATGAGTTTAGTTTTTTCTTTATATCTCTTTGTTCCCACACAACCTTTTGAGCTTACATTGAGTTGAGCCTAATTGAGTTCTCACCTTGTTAGAGAGAACAATCATTTGCTATATTGTGCTTAATTGTTAAATCACTTTGTAATACTCTTGTACACCGAGTGAGGAGTGTGTGGTGAGAGTCGGGGATCATCCCAAGAGGAGTGGCGTCGGTTGACGTGCCTAGAGAGAGGTTGTAACCGAGCACTTGAGGGAGACACGGCTGGGTCTAACACTTAGTGGGTGTAGAGTGTGATTGCAAGAGTGTGAGTTGTAGAGTTTTCGGTTAGCTAGAAAACCGAGTGTGTAGAAGAAGTAGCTAGAAAACCGAGTGTGAGGTGTAAATGTTATTCGGGTGAACGTAGAAAACCCGGTTGATAGTGGATTTCTCCCCGGGAGTGGGGAGCGGAGATGTAGGCCGGAAGGTCCGAACTCCGTGATCATTTGAGTGTGTTTGAGTTTATCATTGGCGTATTTGCTTTTGCATTTATCTTATATCGCCAATTGTGCATTGCTCATTTATTTCATCCACTATCTAGTTCAATTTGTTTACCCTTGTGTTGTTTATATATCCTTGCATATATCTCATACTATATGCCTCTTTGCTAGGATATACCTTTGTTCATATTGCTTATTCTTGCACATAACTCTTGTATATCTATCTTGCAAGAATATACTTGTTAATTAATTTTAATTGGCATTTAATCGGATTAGATTAGCATAAGACCCTAATCACCCCCCCTCTAGGGTCTAACAATTGGTATCAGAGCTTGGTGCTCTTTGATTTAAGGTCTAATCGCCTTGAGTTAAAGATCCAAGTTATCTTTTTGTGCTAATCTTGTTTTGATTGCATTTGTATCTTGCTTGCATATTTTTACAAATTATGGATATGAATGATGCATCTTGTTTAGGCTATGATTCTAGTATTGCTCCTAAATTCAATGCTTTCCCTTATGCTCAATGGTGTTTTAGATTCAAAATATTTGTTCAATCTAAAAATATCGATTTATGGGAAATCATTGATTGTGCTTATATTGTGCCCACGTTGGAGAAATCCAAGTGGAGCAAACATGATAAAAAGA